GTGAAATCATATGGTTCTCTACTTTTTGTCTGATTTATTTCGCTTAGCATTGTGATCTCAAGATCCATCCATGTTTTTGCAAATTAGTTTTTAATAGAGTTTAATTTTATAAAGCAGTTTTAGGTTCACAGCAAAATAGAACAGAAAGTGTCAAGTTTTCATACACCTCTTGCCACCCCCCCCCACACACACACACAAACACACAAACACACAACCTCCTCCACTATCAACATCCCACACCAGGGGATTCGTTACAATTGATGAACCTACACTGACACATCATTGGCACCCAAGTCCATAGTTTACATTAGGGTTCACTTTTGGTGTTGCACATTCTATGGGTTTTGACAAGTATATTATGACATGTATCCACCACTGTAATATCATACAGACTAGTTTCACTGCCCTAAAAATCTTCTGTGCTCTACCTACTCATTTCTCCCTCTCCCAACCCCCTAGAAACCACTGATATTTTTACTGTCTCCATAGTTTTGCCTTTTCTAGAATGCCATATGATTAGAATCATACAGTATGTAGCCTTTTCAAATTGACTGCTTTCATTTACTAATACACATTTAAGTTTCTTCCATGTCTTTTCACGGCTTGATAACACATTTATTTTTAGCACTGAATAATATCCCATTGTCTGGAGGCACCACAGTTTATCTACTCTACCTACTGAAGGACATCTTGGTTGCTTCCAAGTTTAGACAAATATAGTTTGGATAATAGTCTTCTATCAGATATGTCTTTTGCAAATGTTTTCTTCCAGTCTGTGGCTTATTTTCTTGTTGTCCTGACAATCATTATAGTGCCTCTCCCAAATAAAGAATCTTAATTTTATATCAATTAATTTTTGCCCCCAAAAGTGCACAAATGTTAACAGGTTACTAAATCCAATTGGCCATTAGGGCTCCAATATTGGGATTAAGAAGCTGGAGAACTAACAACTAGGGCCACTGTCTCCCTCAAGGCTTACTAAGGGACAGGTAATTGGCTCTGCTGCTCTCAATTGTCACCCAGACTGTGTCCTCCGCTTTCCCAGTGGAGTCTAAAAGGAAGACTGGAGTGGGAAAAAAAGACACGGGAAGTCATCAACACTGGGAGGCGGCCTTGGTGAGGGCAGAAGAGAGTGACGCTTCAGGTATTTCATCAGCTCCCCCAAGGACCTGCTTGTCACCACTGAACCAAGTGCAGGGGCTGTCAAGAGAGCCATTCTTGAAGCTGGGGAGGTATGCCTATAGGAAAGCAATGCCACAATTTCACTTCCAGCTTGGACACCTGCATATGCAGTGGCCTTGCTAGTCCACCCCCTGTACAGATCTGAACTGAAGGAGAAAAGGAAATGTGAAGAAGAGAGAAGGCACAGTCCTGGAGCAACTGGCAAGCTGTGTCTAAAGGCCAAGTGAGCTCAGGGGCAGTGACCAGGTTTGTGTTATCTTGCCATATTCCATGCATGAGGCCTCCTGCTGAATGAGGAGGCCAAACAGCAGGAGGCTGGGGTGTTCAGATGGATCAGATCTTCCTGGACTGGATTTCCCATATCAGTGACTGTGTCGTGGGAAGGCCCCACGGACGCTGAAAACTCTTGTGTGGATGCCGACCACACAGAGGTCCTCAGCTTTCCAGTCCTCCTAAACCAGGAAAGAGTCAAAATCTTACACGAAGGACTATTAAATATGAGAGACTTGTCATTTTCTTCTCCTTCCTCCTTGCCCCAAATCTCTCCAAACCTTAGTAGCCTAGAAAAGGGAGAGAGGAATGGTGTCCCAGAGACATACCACACCCTTATCCCTCTGATCGAAAACTTATATCTAACCTATGATGTCGGAGGGGATAGTTTTAAATGGGTCAAAATTGAGTTTTTATAACACAGAATCAGTTGTGTTTTTCTTTTTGCTTTTTTATAGGAAAGAAAAAAAAAACTAACCAAAAGATCATTGTATCTGCCCAAGGAAAAGTGAAATTTGACAAAGCTTAATTGGAGTAGAAAAAATTGTTACTTTAATGTACAAGCCCCAGGCAAGTTCCAACTAGTCAGTAAACTCATTACTCAAAGTAAACAAAATAATATGCTACTGCTGTTAGGAAAAAGTGCTCCAGTAAAGTGGTCTTTAAAAAAGTGAAGTGCAGGAGTAGGACACAAAATATACACTTTATATTGTATTTTTGATTAATAATTATAAGACCCTGAATCAAAGAGCAAACTATACAGGAAGCCTATGAATGCGCTCAGCACGGCAGGTTGATGGTATAATAAAGAGAGAGAGAAGCACGGGTTTTGGAATTAGAAAGACCTGGATTCAAATCCCGACTCTGCTATTTACTAGTTGGGCGACCGCTCAGAATCCTCATGGAAAGGGGCCACAATAATGCTTCCTAACAAGGTTGGCGTAAGGATTAAAGATGAAAGGTGACAAGCATAACACCTAGGAGATGACAGGTGCTCCAAAAATGGTGGCTATTGTTATCAGCAGTTCTTTTCTCCACCATTTATTTATCATTACCATCTATTATCATGGTAATTTATCCAGAGAAGTAACAGCACTGGCAAAAACAAAACAAAACAAAACAAAAACCAAACAAAAAAACCCCATATTTAAGTGGCAATTTGGGATTATATATAAAAAAAAATGCTGAAAAATTCATAGGTCAGGATAAACAAAATTCCTCTAAATAGCTAGCATTTAACAATCACTTAGGTACCCTAGTTTAGGGACTACTTTCCAGGAGGGAAAAAATATAAAAGAGTTGGGATTCAGCTCACCTACGTCTTACCACAGTCTGTCAGCACTAGAAGGGGACTTAGGACATTAAGGCCCAAAGAAGTTAAATGAGAACATCTGATCCCGTCTCACCCCCACTCATCCTTCATCTGCCCCATCTATTCACTTATCGGCTGTTTCAGTCATAGCATACATTTAACGGCCACTCAGTTCCATTTTTGTCTTTCGAAAAGGCACCTAACTCAGGCGTCAGTCCCATTTCCCCTGCTCTTTCTTCCTGTTCCTTCTTGGGACAGAGCTCGGCAACAGCCACGTGTGAGCCAGCCAGCCAACTCAGTACCACCTGACATTGCACTCAGTTACCAGGCAAGGATGTCATTGAATTGCAGTCTGTTTGATTGGTGGGCTCTGTGCCCTTCTTCCCTCGACCATGTTTCTCTTCATTCATCACTCCTTCCATTTGGGGTACATGGCAGATATGAAGCAATCACCCAATTGGGTGCATTCCACTTGGTTCCTGTTTAGAAGATTTTATCATTGTTTTCCCAAGGAACATTAATTAAACAATTGACTTAAATATTATTTGGGGATCAATTATAATTCAATTAACTCTGCCATCTGGGTTGTTCATTACCATTTCTTAGGAAATATTTGTAATGGTGAAAAAAACGTGTCTCCCATCCCCATGTTTATTCATCTTTCGGTCTAGGATCTACCTTCAGACACTGGCCCTGAACCCCCTACATCCTAGAACTGACTTCCTAGTTGGTCACACCTTGGCTGGCTGTCAGTCCCAGACCATTTTCCTGACCAGAGAAGGCTTATCACTAACATTCCCCTTCTTCCCCAGCACTAGCTCACGTTTACTAATTGCTTTATTATGTGCTGGCTACTCTGCTAAGTGCTTTGTATGCATTGTTTCTTTAAATCCCATGAAACAAACAATGCGGTTGTCCTCTTTTTAAAAGGAGGAACCTGAATCTTAGAGGAGAAAAGCACTCTGTGCAAAGTCACAGAGCCAGGCTCTTTTCTGATTCTGAACCGACAATTCTCTAATGAGATAAACAAGTTAGAGAAAAACCCCGCATTTTTCTCAAAAGTGAGGTCCTCCAACACCTGCAGCTTTTACAAAATAAAGATTTCAGGGATACCGCCCTCCTCCCCAACTTCCTGAATCAGAATCACTGGACGTAATACCCACAATCAGTCCTTGAACGCTGTTCATAATTAAAAGTTCGAGATCCACTGCCCTTGTGTCTTTCTTCTTTGACACCTTCAAAAGTGTTCTTCAGCAAAGCTTCCTTAGAGCTAATGCCCTGACCCCTGGTGGTCTAACCCCAAAGTGTGACTCTGCCATGATGGGAATTTGAGGAAATACTTTGTGATATGTTCACAGCTCACCTTTTGGCTGAAATTTATTTGATTAAGTTTCGGCTGCTTCTGGCTGAGCTCTGATTACTTTATTCGGGCCCATCTCACAGAAAGCACATCAAAGCAACTAGTCTGCTGACCTTTTCGGAAGCAGTGACAAGAAAGATACCTTTTCAATCAATAAATATTTATCGACGGTCTATTAGCAGATGATACAGAGTTGAAAGAACAGGATTCCCGTTCTTAGAAAGGTTAGTGTGGATATAGATTAGAAAATAAACAATTTTCTCTCTTTTTCGTACACACACACACACACACACACACACACAGTAAATTTCCATGAGCCGCCTTAGTCTATCTTCATCAATAGAATATCATGTTTGAGCTCTACTGCTTAGCCAATTTAAACTTGGCTTCTCACCAGCTACCTCTTTTCTTTCCTTTTGATAAGAACCTTTAAATTTCTTGACCAGTTTTTTTTTCCCTTTTCCTTGCAATGATATCATACTCCTGCAATTATTAGACCTTTCTGGTTATTACCAAAAATTGTCTGAATGTCACAAACTCTCAACATTTGACCTGATAAAAGACATGCCCTTTATCAAATCCACTAACCATATGATATAAAAAAAAATAGAAGAGGCCTAGTAACAATAATGACAGCAACAAAACCACAAATAGAAGTCCAGAATATTTAGGCAGAAAAAACCCTAAGAGCCAACCAGCTTACTTATTAATAACACTTGAATAAAGAATTCCCAGCAATAATTCCCTCGCTATTTTATTTGTCTCCATATATAATACTACATTAAAATGTGCTCACGTCCTTCCCACCCCCACATCAAAGAAAATAACAATAACGTATAGTAAGAATCAACCTGCACATTTCAAACCCACACTTACCATAGAACTTCAGTTCACAAATGAACTAGGTGGCAAATCGCTGACAGTGATTTCTGGTCGCCAAGCCAGAGCATATGAGGTTCCTTCTCTTCCACTCTAAAGGAATTTACATCCCCCTGCAATGCAACAGGATACTGATCTTCTAAAAAGGAAATTCGATCTCGCCTTAATTCACTCTGCCCTCCTCTTTTTTGAAGGGGGCTCCCTCCCATCTATTTATTGCATGACAGGGACAAACTGTCTAGTAACAAATACCTTGCAAATAAAAGAGACAAAAACAACAAAAATTTAGTAATGCCTATGTGACTCTCAAGCCCTGTACAAATGGAAAATCAGGATTCTTTATTCTGTCATGAATCAAGTGGAAAAACAAACCATTCTTATCTGTAGTCACTCCCAAATAAATGTTTCACATGTGGCTTTTATGGGGACATGAAGCTTTCAGAGTTTCAAATGTAATCTAACTACAAATTTTATTCTACTTGCTTTTGTTTTCAGATTAATAAGTACAATTTAATTGGGAAGAAGGTTCATTCAATAATTTTTTTTTAAACAAAACCTAAGACTTGCTCAACTTCATACTGTTGAACTAAAGCCAGACTTACTTGAAATTTTTTGTTTGTTTGTTTTTTTGAAGTGAAACAGACATCATTTCTGTGGTCTATCTTTTTTTTTTTTTTACTTTTTAAAATAACAGCTTTATTGAGATGTGATTTACATATTATACCATGTACCCATTTAAAGTATACAATTCAACATTTTAAGTATATCTATCTTTTTAACAGAAAACCATGGTAGCGTTTGTCCACATAACATTCATTTCCAGGCCCTAGAAATAATCTGTAGAGAGAGCACATTTGCCACATGTACAGCAACTAGCATATAAATATGCATCATGAAAAATTCCCACATATAGAGAAAACCACAGGATTTGATTTGGAAAACAAGTCACTTCAAAGTTGTGGAAAATGGGATCTGTTTCTGCCTTACAGGCAGGATCTGCCACCGATAGTCACTCTAGTTATTCTGCACCTGTACCAGGCACTTGGTGCATTACTTTGAGGTATTTACTATGCACGATCAGTTGAAAGTTAATATAACCTCAAGAGGAAAACTACTTTTTTCTTGAATTTTTTCATAAAGGACAGCCACTCTTAATAGAAAACAGTTTTTGTTTTTCAAATCACGTTTGAACTACTTACTTATTGAGTTCCTAAAAAATAAAGGCAATTTTAAGGTAATAAATACAATAAAAAATATTGCAGCCTGTGATTATCTATTGTGAGATAGAACCCCTTTATTTTCCATCATCAAATATTTTTTTTAAAATTAGGAGGATAGTAATCATAGTAGTTAAACTTTTTACCCATATGAAAGAAATCTAGCTTGTTTTATGAGTTCCTTCTAAAAAAACGAAAAAAACAAAAAAAAACTGTAATAGTTTCTGCCAGGTATAGCCAAGGTTTTGTGTTATGGGTGTAAAACCACACACCTTTTGGAAAGCAGCTGCTTTGGTACATACTCCCAATTGCCTATATGACAACCTCTACCTCCCCTTCCGGATGGGTCCTCCCAGATCAGCCTGTCTGTTCCAATAGTTTCTTCCACCGCTGGCCAAGAACTTGCATTCCTCTATACACCAGTTGCTCTTAGAGTCATTAAACTCAACCCAAATTCCCTTTCCCCAGAGTCTCTTGAGGGGCGCTCAAGAAATCTGTCCGGCGTTTGCTTTTTCCCTACCTCTCTCTTGCAGGGCTGGAGGTGACTGGAAGAAGGCAGGAAGGGTTGTGCGGCTGCCCTTTGGGAGATCCTGGCCCAGCACAGAGCTGGGGGAGGGCACAGCGCAGGCAGCTGGAGGAAGAAAAGGAGGAGTGATTTGTGCGCCACTGCAAACATGATACGGTGCCAACAAAAGCACCATTCTTTTTCCCAAGAAGTTCCAAGTGCTGTGCAAAAATTAACTCATGAGACCAAGTAGTTATTGAGCAATTCTTACTGTTTTACGCCCTTCAGATAACTACTGCAATCAAAGTCACTAGGAAAGAGAGCCTACTCGTTGTTTCGTTGTTCCTCAGATATATATTGAGCACGTATTATGTTTTGGATACTGGATAGAGAAGCAAGCAAGACAAAGTCCGTGTTCCTACAGGCCCTCGCCCTAGACCACGCCCACTTGCTTGCTCAGCCAGGGCACTAGGCACCTGGCCGCAATATTTACTACACTTATTTACACTTTATTTTGGCCCAAATGGTTTAATGGAATGCACTCCGTTCTTTAGAATGTGCTAAGTGCTGAGCAAACGCACAAAAGAAAACAATGTTAAATTACCTGTAACCCTCATTACGATGACAGAAATTGGGGAGTATCAATTCAAAGTGCTTTCTTTTAAGATGCATAAACAAAGCTTTATTGTGAGCAAGCCTGTCTCTTGAAATGTTTTGTGGAAATACTCTAGGCAGACAAGGAGAGTTAATATCAGTAATAACACGCCAAGCAGTTTATATAAATAATCTGGCTTTTTTAAAGCGATGAATCAGATGAGCAAGCATGTCTGGTGAAGCAGAGAGCTTTTATCCAGGGGTCTTTTCCTGACCTCCTTTTTATATTATGTGACAAAATGGCAGGTCAGATATAGAAAGGGACTTATGCCATTTCTAAATCCTTCTCCTGAGACAATGGACTCCAGATATTTTATTTACGCCCAACTGGAACAGAGAGACGGGTGACTGCTTTTGCAAAAATGCATGACTTCCTGATGAATCAGAAGAAATTGAAGCTGTTGTGTTTTCAAGAGGCAAGATAAGAATTCTAGTCTGTTCTGGGAGTTAATAACCCAACCCACTTTGGGCTGAACATAGAGGCTGTTCCAATTTTTCACTCAGAAATTTGCACATATTTTAGAAATTGCAGAGAATTACAATACCACCGAAAGCCCAACTTTTTTCCTTAGTAAATACTTTCCTGACTAAACAGAATACAATAGAGGTATAATATTGATCCACCACTCAAGTGTATTGGTTAATGCACATACCCAGTGAAATTTAAGTTCCATATCTTATCAGTTAAATAACATCTTCATTTGGCCTGAAACTACCTTTTCAGCCTCAGCCTCACTCTCCCTTTTACTCTAGCCATGGTAGATCTTCACAATTTTCACTATATCATACTTTTCTGGTACCCTCGCCTTCAAGGCTGCTCCCTGCTCATTCCAACATGTGCACACGTGCGCGCGCACACACACACACACATACACACACATGTGCATGCGCGTGCACATGCATATACACATTTTGTCTATCTGGAAAATTATTCATTCTTCAAGGTCAGATGACATCTTCTGGGCATTTCTTTCCCAATTCCCACACCACTAGCTTATCACCTATTAATTCATATAGGTATCTAACATAAATAAAAGCCTGAATATCTCATGTAGAAAGACCATATCTTATTCCTTTTTATCTTCAACAATTAGTTTTAAATCTTTGTTGAAGATGAGTTTTGTTTTCTACAAAACGTCAATATAGCTCTTACTGAGGCCGGCAAGGTGATTGATTACACTTGGGTTTACTCTGCAGCTGAGAGCACAAATGGTATGTTTAAAACCTTTTATTAAGCAGAGCTGCTAAAGAAGAGAATAAAATCAATTAAATTATTAAGTTAAAAACATCTATTTTTTTTTTATTAAAGAGCTACTACATTAACATCAACACCATTGCCGTTCAACTTTTCACCCCTTAAACGGCCAGTGACCAAGAGCTGGAACCATATTCTACTCCAATTATAAGAGCCCTGCAAACAGTAGATTTACTGAACTGCAAGAAACAGCTAACCACTGACAGCAATAACAATGCTAATTGAAACTACTTATTTCTGGTTTCAAATCAAACAAGAGGAGAACAGAAGAGGGGGATAGAGAATAACCCAGAACAAAAGAGGAAAGGGAAGGACTGAATTGCTGTGAAAAATTATCCTTAGTATTCGCTTTTGCCATTTTTATCTATTTCAAAGTGAAAACTATAGATGCTCTTATAGGTTGTACAGAACATAATAGACAGTTGAAGATAAATACTACTCAGTAAAAGAGTTGTTCTGTCTCTAGAGCATCTTACAAAAATTATTTTAAGGGCATCCTGCTTTCTTTCAATATGTTCAGGAAGTTTCCTTTCATTCTCTAAATTTAAAACATTGACAGCTATTTCCTAGATTTACCCAAAATAAATTTCAGGAATTCAATAATCGAACAATGTTGCTCTGTACCTTTGGGTGAACTTCTTGTGTGTACTGTGTGTGTGTACTCTTATGTGAACCTGTGCACAGCACATATGTTTAAAACTTCACACTTTTAGTGGGCACAGTAAAGTGGTTTCATGTATATTATTAGCTCACTTCATCCTCACAGCAACCTTTTAGGGTGGGCATGACACAGTACAGATGAAGAAACTGAGTCTCAGGCAGATTTAGTATCTTGCAGAATTAATATATAAATACAAGCAGTCTGGCGGTTTCCCCCGAGGTTCTTTCTATCACATCATACTATGTGAACATTAAAAAAATTATCAGAAATGCAGCTTTGGTTTTTACATTTCTTTAAAAATGCTAGCACTGTATATTTTGCACCCCTGTTTACCGAACAAGAGGTATACATTTGAGACACAAAAATATTTTTTCCTGGATACTGGGCATCCCCTAAGCATCCACAACTCATTTAGGGGAAGCATTCCCTGACTCATTTGTGGTCAACACACAAGCAAATATTTGTTTTCAAATAAAACCCCACACTTTCAACCTTTCAATTAATTCTTTAGCAAGCCATGCAAATTCATTTTTTCTACCAAATCCAGCAGAGGGCAGGATGCTCCCACCAACAGCTAGCTGGCTGGAACCTCCCACCAAACCAGTGCAACTCTCAGGTGGAGAGCGTTCTTATGTAAAAGCCATCATCATCTTCTCACCTGGATCTGAAGAGGTGCGGGTGTGGGCTGAGGGTAAGGGCTGTGTTGATATGGCCTGGGAAATGTCAGGAAAAGTTTTGCTTTTGAGGCTGCCTACATTTGGTTTGGAATTGATCTTGATGATATCTGGAAACTATCCAATTCCAATTATCTTTCTGAAATATCTTGCTGAGGAGGCTACACTGGGGAATGAATGTAAATATAGCATGATAATTTCTGTTTCTGGTTTTAGGCTGTCTCGAGTCACAGCTGGGCTGTTACACTCACAGGCGCTGTCCCCAGTTCCCCACCTCAGCCCATCCTGCACCTACTGTCTGTGTCCTTCAGGACTCCTCACAGCTCTCCATTCACGGCCTCTTTGGGCTATTAACACTGCACAGCCCCCACTGATGAGGGATAACGACCTCCTGCCCACTGATTAAAATCCTCTCTCCCTCCCCAAGGCCCATTAGAGGGCCCCATCCTCCAGGAAGTTTCTGGAGACTCCGGCCTTAGTGATAGTCATTAAACTTTCACCAAGTAAACTACCAGTTGAGGGTTTTGGATCTAAAAAGTTATGGCCCATTCCTTCTAGTCCAGATTGCAGCATAATAAATGCAAAATGAAAGGGAGAAAGGAAAAATGCCACCGTTCACAGGAGAGACTGACCCATGCTTCTGAAGATGGCAGAAAAATTGTAGCAATCTTTTAGTTTGAAACTACTCATATCCATGGACTAGTAGTTTTTCACCAGTACCTTAAAAGCATCCAGAACTGGGTGGCTTCTGGGGGAAGGAATGGCTGGTTGATCAGGCTCTGCATCACTTCCCAAACCACTCCCCTTCCCTCAGGTCCTCACAATCAGGTGAGAGCAATTCCATCTTTCCCTGAATTATTTATATACACCTTTGGGTACTATATACAGATTTCCTGTAGAGAAAAGGGGCCTGCAAAAATAGGCAAACAATCTACTCATCAATAAACAAATTTTAAAAGCAATTTGAAAATGGTGACTCAAAAATCCAGAGGCCTTTCTTTACTGTTGAAGTAATCAAGCCTGGAGAGGAAAGATGTGAGGTAGGTTGCAGGCTAGAGGGTGAGAGAAATGGGACCTGAATCCTTATATCCAATTTCGAAAGCCCAAGATGCTTTCTACTAAACGATGGGGCTTCCAGTGAGCCTGAAGGAGGAGGAGGCATTCAATAAAGGGATGGAAAATAGTATGGCATTCTCTCAAAAATGTAAAATATTTAATGGGTATAGAATTTCAGTTTTACCAGTTGAAAAGAACTGTGAGCATGGATGGTGGTAAAGATTGCTCAAAACTTTGGATGTATTTAATACCAGTGAACTGTATATTTAAAAGTGGTTATGATATACATAAATTTATGTTATTTATTCACAATAAAAAGGAAAAACTTTATAAACAAACAAACAAACAAATAAATAAATAAAGGGATGGAGCACACTGTCACCTGTGGATAGAGCGTTCCAACCAGCAGAGCTACCTGGAGCAAAGGTGAGAAACAAAATGCACTTGCATGGGCTTGACCAGCAAAAGAAGATGAAGGTTATGTTTTTCAGCACATCTATTGAACAACTAAGTGTAAAGCAGTGTGTTGAGCACTGGGACAGAGTGAGATAGATGTGACACCTATCTATGTTCATGGAGTTTACATTCTAGTGGGGGAGACAGACATGATTATAATTTAATAAATGCTACACTGGAAAAGTATATGGTGGTACTAGAGTGTTCTTAAACTTGATGACTCACACCACTTCCTGGAGTATTCATTTGGC